AGGCGTAGTATGATACATGTTGAGAACCAAGGTGAGTGGGTTCAATAACTCAGTGAAGTCCAACTCCCTCCTACTAATGCATCAATAGGTCCTCCCCAAGAAAATAGGAGTTGATTAACAATAATCTTAGTTAGCATCTAACAAAAACCACAACAAAATTAACGAGCCACAAAGGAGCTTCTTATTGTGATTCAAATTACCAAATAATAACAGTGTAACATAAATAAAAACCAACAAGAAAAATAGAAGGCATTGAAAAAAGGAAGTAAGAAAGTAGTTTACCTGAAACAGTATGTGAAGCAAGTAAATGAAATCGGTCATGCTTCTGAAGATCACAAATGAAGTAAGAAAGCAGTTTACCTGAAGCAGGATGTGAAGCAAGTAAATGAAATCGGTCATGCTTCTGAAGACCACAAATGCTGTTGTCATGGTCCAATCAATTACAATGCAATTGTTATCCTGTTTTCAAAGACAAGAAGTGTCAAAATTGAAAGTAAAATGAATAACACAAAAAACAATGGGAGTAACACATAAGATAAGTGCAAAGAATATTTGCATTATTGTTTATTTTATTTTGTAATAAGTGTCCCCATGTGTGGGGTATACCTGTCTTTTCTTTTTCATTGTATACTTATAAATATGAGTTGATCGGGGAGTAAGTTTACAATTCTGTGATTACTACTCCCATATTTCTCTCCATAATTCTTCTCTCTCTATCCTAAAATCTCAAACTTTACATTTTATCAAAGCAAGGTTCTAAGACTTGCATCTCATAGATCATTTTTCACTTTTTCTCTGTTTTTCCCTTATGACTAGTTTCATATTCTTCTCTCAAGTGTGGTGATTGACTGCAATCCCAATAGATTGAGTCTTCAATTGCGGTCCTTGTTATTTGATTTCAGAATGTGGTATCGAAGATGTGTTTGAAGCAGCAATTTGTGCGCGACGGACAATGTTTAGGTGCTGAAGTTTTGTTGTTGTCATGATTGATTGTCGATGATGTTATTAGTCCGTAGTTGTTGATCGTCGTCGTAACTTGTTTGTATTGCTGCTGTTGAACAAAGGAGATGCCATGAGCTTTCACGAATCTAGCCTCTGTCGTCACTTTTGATTGTTCATCACCGTGATATGTCGTCAGCGCTATAGTTGCCATGTGATTCTTTGCGGGTAGTCGTTGATTTGTTTTCATCCACATCGTAGTTGAAGAATCAGATTTTTCTTTTTGGTGCATCTGGTTGTGGATCTTCTGCTGTAGTAGTGTTCACGATCGTCGTCTTTGATTCAGTGGAAATGAGAGGTCCTTTCCTCTGTTGAATGTCTTCGACTGAGGTTGTTGAGTTAATCGACTGTTTAGTCATCTGTCGTCAGTGCCTTGATGTGTTGGTGTGACCGACATTATCCATTTCGCTGGAGAAACCAGATTGCTATCATCTTCAACGTAGACAAGTCCACTTGGTCATAGGAGTGCTTGAGTTCTAGGGTTGGCCAGGTTGGGTCATTTGTATTTAAATCTCAAGTTTTACAGTTTTCTTCCTTTATGTTAATGTTATGATTTTCATTGGGGATGACACTACTAGCATATAACTATTGAAAAATCAATTGCTGACTCATTTTGAGATGCAAGATTTGAGCCAGCTTCAGTATTTTTGGGGGATTGAAGTTTCTTCCTCTCCCGAGGGTTATCTTTTCTCTCAGTCTAAGTATGCATCGGATGTTATTCAGTAAACTCGTTTATCAGACAATCGAACAACTAAGACACCATTAGAGCCTAGGAAACACGAATACTCGTCAAGGGGTCACTTTGTCCGTTTCGGACACGTGTCCGACAATGATATGCGTGGGACACAGCTGAACTCATGTCTGACACTTCCAAAAGTGTCTTGAACAGGAGAAGAGCATTTTTCGCAATTGGATACACCTCGGATACGGGAGGTATACGATGGGGGTTCTATTTGGTATTTTATAAACTTGAGGGCCAAAATGAAAAAGAAAAAAAAAAGAGGGCAAATCAATCATTTTGTCCCTCCCACCATTTAGAATCNCGGATACGGGAGGTATACGATGGGGGTTCTATTTGGTATTTTATAAACTTGAGGGCCAAAATGGAAAAGAAAAAAAAAAGAGGGCAAATCAATCATTTTGTCCCTCCCACCATTTAGAATCGAGAGAGAGAAAGAGAGTAGGAGACCAAACCAGTCGATCACTAGAGAGAGAGAGACCAAAGGCTTCAACCTCTCCACCAAATCTGCTTCGACAACGAGGAAAAGAAGGAGAAGGAAGAGGAAGACCATACCTACGACTGTGATCTCCAGATTTGTTGCTAGCCTACTGCATGTTGTGTTATCCAAATCTGCTGCAGCTTCTTGTTTGGTTTTGTTACTTTGAAAGGGTTAGAGTTTTCAAATTTTGCGAGATATTTTGGGGATTAGATATTTTAGGGTTTTAAGTTTTCAAAAGTATATGTATATGATAATGCCAATTGTTAATGTGATGTAGATCTTCGTCTAATTATGTTGCCTGATTATGTAGGATTCCTTTTGTTTTGTGTTCTTTTGTTAGCAAACTTGTAGACCATGAATGCTAGTTGATCTAATTATATTAGAGGAAATTGTGGATGTATATTTTTGAATCTTTGATCTATTTCAATTATAGTCAAAAAATTAATGGTTGTTAATTCATATTAGTTATTATTAATGTTGTTGTTATATATAAAAATATATACATTATTATTTTAATTAGTCGTTTCCTCGCCATACCCGTGTCTTATATTTTGGGATTTTGTCGTATCTTCGTGTCCATATCGTATCGGATACAACACTCGTGTCCGTATCCCTGCTTCCTAACTTAGAGCTAAATGTTCATTACTTTTCCTCTAATGGTTCTTGCTAGCTTGATCCTACCCTCTACTACATTATTGTTGCCTCATCTACTATTGTACACTAGGCTAGTGTTCTCCATATTCTTCTGTATCTTCGAGGTACTTTGCATCAGAGTATATTATTTTTTTCCTCCTCTTCTATGGAACATGTTGGAATTATACTATAGTCGAGTTATTAGTTTTCCTTTTCTTTTTTTGCCCGTACTATGACTTTTATGTCTTACCTAGATCAGAGGGGTGTTCTGGTCAGTTGCACTCTTATTTGGTTATATAGATAGCGCTCTGCACTCAGTTTGTGCATCCCTTTACTTTCAAACAATTCTTATTGGTATCAGANGTCTTACCTAGATCAGAGGGGTGTTCTGGTCAGTTGCACTCTTATTTGGTTATATAGATAGGGCTCTGCACTCAGTTTGTGCATCCCTTTACTTTCAAACAATTCTTATTGGTATCAGAGCCAAACCCTAGCTCCCTAGCCTACCCCTAGTCTTCCCTTAACCTAAACAAAACCCTAACCCTAACCCTAGCCGCCGTCGTAACCTTAATCGCCACAAGCCCAAGGCAGCCAGCGCCCAGAGGCCACTAGCGTCAGAGCCTAGGCCACCACTAGTGCCAGCTCGCGCTTCGCACCCTTCATCATAACACTACCAGTCTACCACCTCTTTGCGCTACTGGCTTCTCTTTTCCTTAGGACTGAAACATCCGGGGACTTTTAAGAGGGGTCAAATCCCCTCCTTCGTTGATCTACTTTTGATGCAGTAGATCATCTATATATTTTTGTTTTGGATTTTTTGGAGTTGTGACCTATTATTTAGGAGCTTTCTGGACCTTTATTTATCGCTATTGTTCAACCGGAGGTATATTGTTCTTCCTTTATTTTCCTCGATTTATCTTAAAGTAGTTTTTGTAATGATTGCCACATAATTATTGTTGCTATGGCCACTAGGGAGGGACTTGAGGCCCCTACCGTTAGTACTTCCACTTGAGATGTGCCGCTCATTTCTGCAAGGATTACCTTTCCCATTTTTATGTTTTACCAGTACACAGTACCTATTAGCACAATCGCATTACTAGCAATGCCGGTTATGATCTCTCAAAAGGTCACAACACAGTTAGTGAATTGTCGTAACTTTGTTGAATGGTCACGCTCATTTCAGCTTTTCTTGGGGCGTGTTAAGAAGCTTGGTTGGCGAACAGGATCGCACCCAAAACTAGCTAATGATGACTCAGGATATTCTACATGGTTCTCTGAGAACTGCGCTATTCTTGAATGGTTATTTGGCTCTATAGAGCCATTTGTTTGCAAGATTCATCAGTTTCATAGCTCTGTTCTGACGCTATAGAATGCATTATTAGAGATGTATTATTAATAGTCAGTTCGTGTTTATGAGCTTTCTCAAGAGCTCTTATATGCTTGACAAGAATATATGACGTTTTAGGACTACTATGGCTATTTGACACAACATTGGCTTGAATATGAGACTTTACGTCCTCTTATTGCTATTCGAAAGATAGAACCCGAGGGAGCAGCATTTCTACATACTCAAGAACAAGAGGATAGAATTCACAAGTTTCTTATGGGCCTTCATGATGAGTTTGAAAGACTTTATTCCTAGATCTTATCAATGTTGAGACTTCCTTCTCTTTATGAAATGATTGAGCAGCATGAACACTGCGTCCGTATTGCATCACTTCCAGTTGTGACCTTGACTCCTCAAGCTGACTAGATGGCCCTTACAGTTACTGCAGGACCTCTAATGTTAAATTCAAAACAAGAAAAATACTAGACTACCCCTAATGTTAAGTTGTTAAACAAGCATCTACTATAAAAGCTTAACCAATTAGAGAGCGTGTAACTCCAGTATTTATATATTTCAACACGTTCCCTCACGTGGAGACTAAATATCGGGACCAGTATGTGGAAAGTTTTTTAATTATTAGGGTGACGCCGTGACAGTGACATTTGAACATAGGACATCATGGTCTGATATCATGTTAACCAATACTCTAAAAGCTTAAGCTATTAGAGAGGGAGTAACTTTAGTATTTACACTTCTATATAAGTAAATGTACATACAATCTTAATAATGACAAACTAATTTTCAGACTATATATGCCATGCTCACCAAACTGAAACAGCAAAGAGGTGAGTGAAGTTGGTGAGCCATGTGATTGGAAACCATATCCTGTCGTTCAAAGTGGACTCAATTGTTAGTTAGTACACCTTTATTTTCGAGATGGGCCCGCTCACTCTATTTTCTTATATATACTTAGGAAAAAAAATATTTTTTGATACACCTAAGATATTGATTCCATATAAACAAATGGACTGTGACAAGTCGTTTCCACTAGCAATGCTCACATTTTAGCGCAGCAAGTCAATTCAATTTTTTTCCGTTGATAGATCTAATAAGAATAACAGAAGAAGCCACAGGGGCACAGCCCAGAAAGTTAATTCCATCTAACTGTTTCCCTCAAGAAGACCAACCCTTTCAACTCCTTGAATCTAGTTTTCTTCTTACAGGAAGCTCCCTCCTTTTCTACTTCTCTTCCAAGGCTAATAAATTCAATTTTATTTGAAACAATATTATATTAAAGTCACGGGCAGATTTTTTCTAATGTGCTGTATCTCTGGGTTATGATGGATAATGTATGGCATCCCATACTGAAGTGGTATATAAATGATGAAAAATAAAGTGTCTACTTATAAACCTGTGAGACCAATAAAAAGTTAGAGATGCCATATAATCTGAAGATTTATCCAAGTGCATGACCCATTAAAGATCTCCAAACTAACAAAATTCCAAATCTAAGAATAAAACCATACCTGCCGCACAGACAGCAAAAAGAAGAACACGGGGTCTAAAAAAATTGCCACTAAACAAGAAATAACAAAGAACTTGTTCCACTGCTGAACAACTTTGGCGTGAGGATTCATGACCCCTGGAACATAGGGATGCACGAAAGCAATCAATCTCTTTGCACAACCTTTTGCATCACCATAGAGAACATTATGGAACTGCAACAAAGCATAATAAAAGCAAACTGTGAACACATTAAGTAGTTCAGCACCTCTATTGCAGAACAATGAAACCATTTGCCAATAAGACACTTATTATAAGAGCGACTACAATCAAATGAAAACTATGCTGTAGACTTGTAGTACAAACTAAAGCAGTGAAAGAAATAATTGAAGTACTCTTTAGATAACTCAAAAATGAAATTACTTGTTTCTGGACGTAGAAATGCATGTAAAAGGTAATGTTTAGCATTGCATATTGAAGGTAATTTTTAGAAGCAGCAAATTTTCACAAAATTATGCATCACCTCGAAATAATGATTGTTTCTTATAGCATCTAAAATTCTCGAAATTGCCTCATGATACAAGACATGCACAATTCGCCCAATGCTTTATTAGAAGATTTTTTTTATTTTTCTTATCATCTTATCATTCTTTTTGTTGTGTTGAGATGTTTGGGCTTGTAGGGCTCTGTATGGTTGAGGTGGGGTGTGAAGAGAGGTTGTGTTCACAGCCTCCTAGGAAGATTATGCATTTGAATGACAATATCAGTTATTATGAATCTGCTCAGTTATGTACGCTAAGGTCCAAGTGGAAAAATACAAATATCAAGAGAGTAAAAGCAATCTATAAAGAAATTTATTTCTCGTATTTATAAGAAATATGTGTTTATCAATGGGCCTTTGGTCTAATGGTACTCTTTGGCTTGTGAAGGCTTTGTCTGCTTAAAGTCAAGGGTTCAAATCCCCCCCCTCTTTCCATCTTCCCCACAAAAAACAAAAAAAAAATTTAAAAATAAATTAAAAATAAAAATATAAGAAATTTGTGCCCTCAACTCACTGCCTCTTCTATTCCAAATGAACAAAGTCACTATGCTTATCAAAAAAAAAAAAACTGTGCTTATCACTCTAAAGGTTTTGTTAGCTAACTACCAAAGATCGAAATATCGTGTTAAAACGTTTTGGATTTTCAATACATCAACACGAAAGAAGGGTTGAAACTAAAAGTTCTAGAGTTTTGATTGAATCATCACATTGACATTTCGTTAGAAACATTAAGATGAATCGACAACAGATTCAAGCCAAAAAAGGGGTCATCTTCTCAGCACAATAGAAAAAACCAATAAAAGAAAAGAGAGAGTGTGTGTTGCTAACTAGAGGTCCTCGAGTCCAAATCTAAGCAGATCCAAGCCAAACTCCACTCCAACGAACCAAAAAAGCCTCCTCCACTACTCAAGTCTAGATCTGAGTAGGTACATTTCTTTTTTTTCCTTTTTCTTTTGTTTTTGTCTTTCTTCGTTCTTCTCTGCAGATCTAGGATGGAGAGACCAAGATCTGGCCTTTGAGTTCGCCTATTCCCTTCTTCTTCTTTTTCTCCTCTTTCTCTCTCTTCCTTCATTGAGAAATAGACGTCGTCTGTTCTGTTTTTAATCCTCTCTGCCCCCTGTTGAGAACAAACTCAATGTCTGTTTTGTTTTAATACCCCAACTCCTTTTTTTCCTTTTTATCTTTTTTACTTTATTATATCTGTTGTTTTAAAATTTAATCCCTCCTTTTTGTTTCTTTTATTCTTTATACTATAATTATTTACGAAATTGTTATATTACAATATATCTTATTTTTTAAACATTTGCAATTAATTAATTCTATGGTATATTAATAGCATACAAATAATAAGTTTGTTTGATGAATTAAGTGTTTGAAATTAGTTAAAGTGATTTCCGATTCATATCAAACCTTTTTTTTCCATCCAACTTGATATTATCTTGTATAAATGGATGTTAACCCAATAAGCATGGNAATCTAAGCAGATCCAAGCCAAACTCCACTCCAACGAACCAAAAAAGCCTCCTCCACTACTCAAGTCTAGATCTGAGTAGGTACATTTCTTTTTTTTCCTTTTTCTTTTGTTTTTGTCTTTCTTCGTTCTTCTCTGCAGATCTAGGATGGAGAGACCAAGATCTGGCCTTTGAGTTCGCCTATTCCCTTCTTCTTCTTTTTCTCCTCTTTCTCTCTCTTCCTTCATTGAGAAATAGACGTCGTCTGTTCTGTTTTTAATCCTCTCTGCCCCCTGTTGAGAACAAACTCAATGTCTGTTTTGTTTTAATACCCCAACTCCTTTTTTTCCTTTTTATCTTTTTTACTTTATTATATCTGTTGTTTTAAAATTTAATCCCTCCTTTTTGTTTCTTTTATTCTTTATACTATAATTATTTACGAAATTGTTATATTACAATATATCTTATTTTTTAAACATTTGCAATTAATTAATTCTATGGTATATTAATAGCATACAAATAATAAGTTTGTTTGATGAATTAAGTGTTTGAAATTAGTTAAAGTGATTTCCGATTCATATCAAACCTTTTTTTTCCATCCAACTTGATATTATCTTGTATAAATGGATATTAACCCAATAAGCATGGTCAATCAATCAATTATCAAGCTTATCTTTATAAATAAAGGAATTTTATTCATGTTTCCATATTTTTCAATGTTACCATTACCTTTCCGGTTTTTAGCTTAACAAAACGGTACATCGAAAAGATAGTTCAATCCTTGCGAACTACTTATCAACTTCATCCCTATTATCTGCTCCATCTCTATTGCTGNTTTCAATACATCAACACGAAAGAAGGGTTGAAACTAAAAATTCTAGAGTTTTGATTGAATCATCACATTGACATTTCGTTAGAAACATTAAGATGAATCGACAACAGATTCAAGCCAAAAAAGGGGTCATCTTCTCAGCACAATAGAAAAAACCAATAAAAGAAAAGAGAGAGTGTGTGTTGCTAACTAGAGGTCCTCGAGTCCAGATCTAAGCAGATCCAAGCCAAACTCCACTCCAACGAATCAAAAAAGCCTCCTCCACTACTCAAGTCTAGATCTGAGCAGGTACATTTCTTTTTTTTCCTTTTTCTTTTGTTTTTGTCTTTCTTCGTTCTTCTCTGCAGATCTAGGATGGAGAGACCAAGATCTGGCCTTTGAGTTCGCCTATTCCCTTCTTCTTCTTTTTCTCCTCTTTCTCTCTCTTCCTTCATTGAGAAATAGACGTCGTCTGTTCTGTTTTTAATCCTCTCTGCCCCCTGTTGAGAACAAACTCAATGTCTGTTTTGTTTTAATACCCCAACTCCTTTTTTTCCTTTTTATCTTTTTTACTTTATTGTATCTGTTGTTTTAAAATTTAATCCCTCCTTTTTGTTTCTTTTATTCTTTATACTATAATTATTTACGAAATTGTTATATTACAATATATCTTATTTTTTAAACATTTGCAATTAATTAATTCTATGGTATATTAATAGCATACAAATAATAAGTTTGTTTGATGAATTAAGTGTTTGAAATTAGTTAAAGTGATTTCCGATTCATATCAAACCTTTTTTTTCCATCCAACTTGATATTATCTTGTATAAATGGATGTTAACCCAATAAGCATGGTCAATCAATCAATTATCAAGCTTATCTTTATAAATAAAGGAATTTTATTCATGTTTCCATATTTTTCAATGTTACCATTACCTTTCCGGTTTTTAGCTTAACAAAACGGTACATCGAAAAGATAGTTCAATCCTTGCGAACTACTCATCAACTTCATCCCTATTATCTGCTCCATCTCTATTGCCAACTACATTTCCTTGGAATTTAGTCGTTGTTAGCCAAACAACCATAGGATTCCCTTTTNGCTTAAAGTCAAGGGTTCAAATCCCCCCCCTCTTTCCATCTTCCCCACAAAAAACAAAAAAAAAATTTAAAAATAAATTAAAAATAAAAATATAAGAAATTTGTGCCCTCAACTCACTGNACTTAAAGTCAAGGGTTCAAATCCCCCCCCTCTTTCCATCCTCCCCACAAAAAACAAAAAATAAATTTAAAAATAAATTAAAAATAAAAATATAAGAAATTTGTGCCCTCAACTCACTGCCTCTTCTATTCCAAATGAACAAAGTCACTATGCTTATCAAAAAAAAAAAAACTGTGCTTATCACTCTAAAGGTTTTGTTAGCTAACTACCAAAGATCGAAATATCGTGTTAAAACGTTTTGGATTTTCAATACATCAACACGAAAGAAGGGTTGAAACTAAAAATTCTAGAGTTTTGATTGAATCATCACATTGACATTTCGTTAGAAACATTAAGATGAATCGACAACAGATTCAAGCCAAAAAAGGGGTCATCTTCTCAGCACAATAGAAAAAACCAATAAAAGAAAAGAGAGAGTGTGTGTTGCTAACTAGAGGTCCTCGAGTCCAAATCTAAGCAGATCCAAGCCAAACTCCACTCCAACGAATCAAAAAAGCCTCCTCCACTACTCAAGTCTAGATCTGAGTAGGTACATTTCTTTTTTTTCCTTTTTCTTTTGTTTTTGTCTTTCTTCGTTCTTCTCTGCAGATCTAGGATGGAGAGACCAAGATCTGGCCTTTGAGTTCGCCTATTCCCTTCTTCTTCTTTTTCTCCTCTTTCTCTCTCTTCCTTCATTGAGAAATAGACGTCGTCTGTTCTGTTTTTAATCCTCTCTGCCCCCTGTTGAGAACAAACTCAATGTCTGTTTTGTTTTAATACCCCAACTCCTTTTTTTCCTTTTTATCTTTTTTACTTTATTATATCTGTTGTTTTAAAATTTAATCCCTCCTTTTTGTTTCTTTTATTCTTTATACTATAATTATTTACGAAATTGTTATATTACAATATATCTTATTTTTTAAACATTTGCAATTAATTAATTCTATGGTATATTAATAGCATACAAATAATAAGTTTGTTTGATGAATTAAGTGTTTGAAATTAGTTAAAGTGATTTCCGATTCATATCAAACCTTTTTTTTCCATCCAACTTGATATTATCTTGTATAAATGGATATTAACCCAATAAGCATGGTCAATCAATCAATTATCAAGCTTATCTTTATAAATAAAGGAATTTTATTCATGTTTCCATATTTTTCAATGTTACCATTACCTTTCCGGTTTTTAGCTTAACAAAACGGTACATCGAAAAGATAGTTCAATCCTTGCGAACTACTTATCAACTTCATCCCTATTATCTGCTCCATCTCTATTGCTAACTACATTTC